GTGGCGGCCATATTGGATTTCTGATCGACCCGAAAAATAACAACACTTTGTCAGGACCATGAGGCGATCATTCCTACCAACTTTCAGTTCAATCGGCCCAGCAGAACTTGACTTTAATTTTGAAATGTAAAATGTTAACGGACGACGGACGACGACGGACGACGGACGAAAACGGATAGCAATAGGTCACTTGAGCTAAAGCTCAGGTGACCAAAAAATATGAAAATTTTAAATAAATTCAGTGTAAAATTGTATTTGTTCTTTTGAAATGCGAAATGAACACTTAATTATCTCATACAATCTTTCGAATTCACCTATTGAAACACGAATCAGTAGCATATCATATATCTGAAAGAAGTTGCATAAAGTTACCATACAAAAGGACGGTTTTATATACTGGGCATGTTTGTGTCAATTATAAGATATTGAGGATATACTTTGTTTCCTATCAAAATATCTTTTTTATGCAGAATAAAGAAAGGAAAAATAAAACTATTATGTTAGAAAAGTATTTTAAAAGAAACGTTGCCGTAATTTGTCAGATACTGTCGTTGTATAGGAAGTTGAATTCATTGGAGATAAGGAGGTGTTGCCATCGATACCGCCAACCCCAACCCCCACAAACTTTTGGAATTTTTGTACTAGTGTTCTGAAGCTCATATGAATTCAATTGATATAAAAAAAAAACATAACGCATACAGATAGAAACACCAACCATACGTTTCCGATGCATAATGAAAAGGGTATGTAAGCGTTACTCATCTTCATTTTTCATTATTATATACCCGAAGCTACACACACCCGTGCAAAGTGGTCGTCTTTATACTTTCCCTGTCCAATACTTGAATTAAGTTAAAACGATATGTAAAACAGACGTTGTACTTCAGTCTCATAATTCAATCAGAGACGTATAAAAATAGACTATAAACTATACTGACCCGCGAATTAGTTACAATAATGTTTGTTTTGACTTAACTCTGATATGTCAGAGTAATCATTCTCCCGGGTGTTGGTTGAGATACATCTAATTTATACGATTTGATGGTAGAGACTAGATACACCGGCAAAAGACATCCTTGCGACTTGAGACGCTTAAATCTGTTCTCGGGTGCTGCTGGAAGGAGGGTGGCATTTATTTCGAGAGATATTAATTACTCTTTACATAGCGGGATAGGTCATAACAAACCAACTGTAGCCGGGTCCCTGTGACTGAACTTTATCTCAAAATAACAATAGCTGCAGGTAACAAGGTTACCCCACGTTTAATGACTTATAAACTATATGTATCTGTATCTGTTTTACCGACTTTTTAGATAAATATCAATGTTCTGTATACCATGCTATTAGTTCTGAGTTTCTGCCGCCTCTGACATCAGACTAAGACAGTTTGACAGATAGACGTCTGGTTTGGGACCAGAGCACACTAATTACTATATTTGTGAAAACGTAAAATTGTCCGAAACCGTTTGGTATCGGAGAGTTTTAATTGAGATCCTGACAACAAAAATCTACTATGGCACAACACATACCTCACATACATCGATACATGGATTATTTATTGATCCAAATCTGCTCTTATTATTACCAACAGCTGCTGAATTCCGCCAGCAGAGTCCTCAAATTGGAATCGTTCAAATAAATTTCCGACCTCAGCGATCGCCATTTTCTAGATCATGGAGAAGTGACTTATTAACAAAAAGGGCGGTCCGTAATCTTCTAAACAAAGAATACTATTTTCTATGTTCGGTCCGGATCAGTACGGTTTGTTGATTAGTCAATTCCATGACCTACAAAATGGCGTTCACTCAGGTGGGACATTTTTTGAACGATTGAAATTCGTAACACGCCGTCCTGACATGTATTGGACATACACATCAGAACGATTATCACTTACAAAATCTGGCCTTAATTCATTGCTAATATAATACGGTATTTCATGTAACAAACGGGCATATTTACGATATTAAAAAATACAAAATGTGGTAGGACAATTCTTCCCTGAATATTGGCACGGAGTACGTGATTCCGTGATTATGGTTACAATTCGCTAGCAATCATGTATTTGAATTTAAATCGTGTTGTAATTGTCTAGGTATACCTATACATTTGTGGTCATTCAGTTATAACATAGATTAAACTACCGCCTATTCAAACAAATATATGTTGTAGAAATCATATCATTGACTAATATTTTAATCATAAGAATAAGAGAAATGTTATTCTTAGACTGATCCGACATTATTCAAATAACACGGCTTTATTAGTTTAGTTACAGACTTAAATATATCTTGTGGGTGGTAATTACAGGTGTAATTGAGTGGTTCGGTTATCTAGAAGACTACTACTAGTTCTGTCCCGTGAAAGCGGCTGCATAGTTCATTCGTTCGATCCGCCGCTATCGGCCAGGTATCAGTTTATCGGTCGATAGCGGCGAGGTATCATTAAGCAGTTTATTGGCCGATAGCGGCCGATAACCTCGTTCCGTTCGGGAAGCGGCTGTACTAGCAGCGTTAGGCCCAATCGGTAACACCCGTCCTATCGGTAGGCTTGCTTGCGTTCGCACCGGGTTCGTCCTGCGGTCGTATAGCGGCTCGTCTCTGTTCGGGAAGCGTGCTTCCTGCGTTTGTGCCACAAAAAGTGGATACTTGGGCGTAATTCTAACTGTAATACTTCCGTCAAATTTGACTGGCGTATAAAAATCACACAATATGATTAATTACTTCATAATCCAATAAACATGCATACAGCTCATTGTCCCATGGCCCTACCCTGTCTTCCTCGAAATGGACCATTTTACCAAACCATTTTCTTTGACATAAGCCTATGTTTACGATTGAGAAGTACTTCCGGTGAATGTATCTTATGGAATTATCAACACTGTATTGATTATCACTTTGCATCATAAATACTTCACACTGCTGTTTTAAGAAAACAGTTCTAAATTAATCAGTGTCAGTTTATTACCTGGAAATAATTAATACCGGGTTGTGTCAGTATGGTCACCAGTACTTTTCACTGGAGACCGAAATATGTCCGGTGAAGATGTTTAAATGACATTTCTTTGATCTTGTACAGGAACATTGTTACTTGGATTTATTAGTTGTAATTTTGAATGTTTTTATGACAAACAGGCCTTACTTATACTTCGAAACAGCGAGAAACTTGACTCATCAAAGTTTGATTCATGAATAAAATATTAGTAGTGTTATATAAGGGAGAATATCCAGACTTTGCTGTAAGTTTGACACATTTAGAAATTTGAATTTATGGAGGTTTGACTGTTGTCATATCTAATAACTTTTTTAGCACTCCATCGTAGGTACCTACTGGCCAAATATCATGACCCTGGGCCTTATGGAACTGGAGGAAAAGATTGTTAAAGCTTTGAACCCATGTTGACATTAGACCACTGGCTAGCACTTAAAGTTGACCTTTGACCTCATTACTATGATTGAGAAAAAGATTTGTACTGCTTGTCTACATAACATACCCAAGTATCATGATTCTTAGTTCAATTATGGTTCTTAGGATATTGTTGTTTGAAGTTTTGAACATATTTGACCCCAGTGACCTTGAAAGCAGGTAAAGGTCATTTTAATGAGGGGAAGTTATAACAATCCATTCCAGGTATCTACTGGCCAAATATCATAACCCTTGGCCTCATTGAACTTGATAAGAAGATTTTTAAAGCTTTTAACCCATATTGACATTCATGACTCTAGTCCAAATTGTTTTTAGGATATATTGTTGTTTGAAGTTTTTAACATATTTGAACCCCTGTGACCTTGAAAGTAGGTCAAGGTCATTTTAATGAGGAAACTTTATAGCACTCCATCCAAAGTACCTACTGGCTAAATATCATTATCCTAGAAGTTGTTCAAAAGATAAAGTCGACGGACGGAGGACAGACGGACGGATGGACCACGGAAGACAGACGCCGCAGTTAGGCATAAGCTCACACGGCCCGAAGGTGAGCTAAAAAGACATCATCAGCTTATCATCCGGTCATCATCATCATCATCATCATCATCATCATGTCTTTTTATTGTTATGATGAAGATGATGAAGATTATAATGATGATGATGATGTTAATAACAATGACAATGATGAGGTTTCAATATACAAGATAATTGACCTGTATTAGTGGACTATTTCAAATCACTGTGACCAGGTGTACTGACAGTAGAAAGGATTTTCACTGAGGACTTCATGTTACAGGAATTGCTATGAAAAGAAAGAGAGGGCGGAGCACAGACAAGCTTGCTGCTATATAATTCTGTATTTTTCTATTTTGAAGCCACCATGGGATAAGCTGGGCACTGTAAGAATCAGGATTACCCTATCAATCATACATTTGAAATACTATATATTATGATAATTAAAATCTAATTTCTATACGCACTCATTTTTAAGATTTTACAAGATTTTGATCAATAATGTACAGAATTTGCTGCAAATTTAACCAAGGCTCCAGTGGTCGTCTCTGTATTTTGTTTTTAGAGAGCAAATATCTTATCAAACATTGAACCAAGTTCTGGTGGTAGTCTCAGTATTTTGTTTTCAGAGAGCAAATATCTTACCAAACGTTGCACCAAGTTCTGGTGGTAGTCTATGTATTTTGTTTTTAGAGAGCAAATATCTTACCAAACATTGCACCAACGTCTGGTGGTAGTCTCTGTATTTTATTATTAGAGGCATTGAATTTGCTTAGTCTGGACAGGTGCCCTATTCTCCGAGGCAGTGCTTGTAGCTGGTTGTTGGACACATCCTTAAAAAGAAAGACTTTTTTAAACATGTGATTTACAACAAAATGTTTTTTAACATGGTAGTGAATGCTTTTACAAAGATTGTAGCCATCTGATTTTCAGAAATAATCTTAAGGGGAAACAATGTACCAAACTGGTAACACACACACACAAAATCAAAGTCATTAGAAACAGACAACATCAGGAATCAAGAAGACTGCAGCACAGAAAGAAAGATATCATTACCCAAGAACAAGAGGCCCATAATGCAAGGGCCTTAGCGGTCACCTGAGTTATATTATAGGTACTGGTAGTTCAATTTCATTGTTGAGATGTACAAAATGTAAAAAAAAAAAACATGTGAACAAAGTGAAATACAATACTTGTCATATCACCAAAGGATAAGAACTTAACCAACTATTCAAAAAAAATATTTTGCTATTGAGATATATACCTTCTCCCCAAGGGAGAGCAGAAGACCTAGGGGATAATGAAATTTACAACTTAGATACCAGGTAATGTTAATTTAGGTAAGGACCTTTCTATCCATGCACAGAATTTGATTGTAAAACATCTGAATCTGAAGAAGATTTTTGAAATATTGGTTAATTTTCCCTTTTGGGCCCCGCCCTGGCCCCTAGGGGTTGTGGCAGGAATCCTAATTTTTCAATTTGATAACATCTTCCTCCAAGGATGATTCTCACAAAGTAAGATTGATTTCCTACTGAAAATTGACAAAATATACCCAAAAGTGTTATTTCCCTATATAAACTATATATAGTTAATTACCCCCTCCCCAAAGGAGAATAGGTGGCCCTGTGTAATGTTGTGCGATCCCACAACTGTACCTCAAAGTCTGGAGAAGAAGATTTTTTAAATATTGGTTAATGTTCCCTTTGGGGATCTGCCCTGGCCTCTGGGGTTGGGTCAGGAATTATAATTTTACAATTTGATATATACCATCTACCTCCAAGGATGATTCTCACTAAGTAAGAATAATTTCTTGCTGAAAAATATACCCAAAAGTTTTATTTCCCTATATAAACTATAGTAAACTTTATCCCCTCCCCAAGGGAGAACGGATGCCGTGTGGGTACTGAAATTTACAATTCAAATAAAGCCCCTGATGAGATTTCCATCCATGCAGAGAAATTGATTGTAGTACCTCTGAGTCTGAAGAAGATTTTTTTTGAAATATTGGTTAATTTTCCCTTTGGGGCCCCACCCTGGCCCCTTAGGTTAGGGTAGGTATCCAAATTTTACAATTTTGTAGCCTCATCTACCAAGGATGATTCTGACCTAGTTTCAAAAAAAATCCATCCTCTGGTTCTTGAGGAGAAATCGAAAATGTAAAAAGTTAACACATGACACAAGATGCACGACGACGGACAGAAAGTGATCAGAATATTTCACTTGAGCTTTGACCTAAAAAGGCATGGCTTTTTCATTGATTGCTTAACACATGATTTTTTTTACTAAAAGCTTTACGCACGACGCACGAGGACGGATTAGAAAGCGATCAGAATAGGTCACTTGAGCTTTGCTCAGGTGACCTAAAAGCCTATCTCAAATGGTCACAACCTGTACTGTTGTCAATTCTTATACAATATAATATACAACAATAATACAATCAAACCTATGAGCCCACCAAAATTATTAAATCTTATTGGTTAACAGTTACTTTCAACAGGTACTAATAGTTACTGATCCCTGTCCCACTGCACTGTGGTTGTGTACGTTGTACCGGTATGTATATCGTAAATGAGATCAGGGAGGAAAACAAGATTTCACCAGTTTTTCAAGAAGCAGATGATGCGGCCATAACTTTGTGTAACAAAAGGCCCAAAGGGCCTGTATCGCTCACCTGGTATAAATCTCACACTTGAAACCTTAAAAGTGATCTGAAATAAAGCTACAGGCAAAAGATCAGCATTTATGACTATTAGTCATTCGAAAGAACCAGTTAAAAGATTTCAAAACATTTGACCCCTATGACCTTGAAAGTCAAACAAGGTCAATACCTTGTACAGTTGTTTATTGAGATTATGTCATTTAAAGGTTTATACATATCTGACAAAATGTGACCTTGAAAGGGGTCAAGGTTATTCAAATGAAAAACCTTGATAGCCCATCACCCAAGCATGCTACTGGCCAAATATCAAATTATTCAGAAAAAGATGTTTAAGTATTTTTTTCCTTTATCATAGCATGCTACTGGCCAGATATTAAGAAGAAATTGTTTCAAAATTTTGAACATATATCCCTGTGACATAAAATAAAGATCAAGGTCATTCATCTGAACAATCTTGGTAGCCCATCCTTTAGGTCGAAATGAAAAAATACTACCCTAATTCCAACAGCAAGGGGTAATTACCATATCTGTAAACTTTCATTGAAATCGGTACAGAAGTTTAGCAGGCAGACAAAGTTTTTTTCAACAAAGGGCCATAACTCCCTTTAAAAGGGTCAGAATGAAACTACTTGGATGCACAATATCAGGGGGCAGTTGCCATATCTGTAAACATTCTTTGAAATTGGCACAATAGATTAGGAGAAGTTGTCAGGACAAGGGTTTTTCAACAAAGTGCCATAACTCCATAAAAAGGGTTGGAAAAAATACCTAAAATATAATAATAATATATAATAAAATATCTAAAACTTTCCATTGAAATTGGTCGCATAGTCTTGGAGGAGTTGTCTGGACAACTCTTTTTCAACAAAGAGCCATTAGTCCGTAAAAAAGGGTCAGATTGAAAACATAATACCTGGATGCACAACTTCAGGTGGTAGTTATTATATCAGAAAAGTTTCGTTAAAATTGGTCCATTACTTTAGAAGGAGTTGTCCGGACAAACTTTTTCTATTGACAGACAGAAGGACAGACGGTTGAACAGAAAAGCTGACAAAATTGAGTGCCCTTGGCCCAAGGATGCTCCAGACCAAACTAGGATAAACAAGAGGCCCAATGGGCCTGAATAGCTCACCTGGTATTAATTTCACATTTGTTATCTTAAAAGTGGACTAAAATACAACTACAGGCAGAATATTGGTGTTTGATTAATAAGAACCTATTAAAATATTTAAACATATGAGACGTGTGACCTTGAATGTTGAACAAGGATATTAGGTTGAACAGAATTTATAGTCTTCCAACCAAGCATGCTTCTTGCAAAATATCATTACCCTGGTTATACAGAACAAATCATTTAAAGATTTAAACATATATTGACCACGGTGACCTTCAAAGTTGGTCAAGGTCATTCATTTGAACAAACTTGGTAACCCTTCATCACAGCATGTTAATGGCCAAATGTCATCACCCTAGGCCTCTTGGTTATTCAGGAGTTGTTTAAATGATAACAACATATTTGACTTGCGTGCCCTTGAATATAAGTGAAGGTCATTCATTTGAAGAAATTTGAAAGACCTTTATCCCAGCATATTACTGGCCAAAAATCTACACCCTAGACCTTTTGGTTATTCAGAAGAAGTCGTTTTATAGTGTTTTTAAGATAAATAACCCCTGTGACCTTGAATATGTGCAAGGTCATTCAATTGAACAAACTTGGTAACTTCAAGCCAACATCCTTCTGGCCAAATATCATCACCCTGGACCGTTTGGTTATACAGAAGAAGTCATTTATATTTTGTTTAAGACAATTGACCCCTGTGACCTTGAATATATAAGAGTAGGTCAATCATTTCAACAAACTTTATAGCCCTTCATTCCAACATTCTTCTGACCAAATATCATCACCCTGGACCGTTTGGTTATACAGAAGAAGTTGTTTCAAGGTTTATAAGACAATTGGCTCCAGTGACCTTGAATATGGGTGAAGATCATTCATTTAACAAACTTTGTAGCCCTTCATTCCAGCATGCTTCTGACCAAATATCATCACCCTGTAGCTTTTGGTTATTTAGAAGAAGTTGTTTAAAAGTATGTATCCAATTCAAAATCCTGACTGGAACCTGTCTCCACAAAAAAACAAGAGCACTTGTTATCTTAAAAGTGGACTAAAATACAGCTACAGGAGGAATATCAGTGTTTGATTCATAGAAACTACTAAAAGATTCAAACATATGACGCCTGTGACCTTGAATGTCGAACAAGGACATTAGGTTTAACAGAGTTTATAGTCTTCCAACCCAGTATGCTTCAGGCAAAATATCATTACCCTGAACCTTTTGGTTATACAGACCAAATCATTTAAAGATTTAAACATATATTGACCACTGTGACCTTGAATATGATTCAAGGTCATTCATTTGAACAAACTTGGTAGCCTTTCATTCCAGCATGTTACTGGCCAAATATCATTATCCGAGGCCTCTTGATTATTCAGAAGAAGTTGTTTATAGGTTTTATACATATTTGACCCCTGTGACCTTGAATATCAATCAAGGTCATTTATTTAAACAAACTTGGTAGCCCTTCATCCCAGCATGTTACTGGCCAACTATCATTATCCTACGTCTCTTGGTTATTCAGAAGAAGTTGTTTAAAGGTTTTATACATATTTGACCCATGTGACCTTGAAAAATGATGAAGGTCATTTATTTGAACAAACTTGGTTGCCCTTAATCCCAGCAAGTAACTGGCCAAATTTAAGCACCCTAGGCCTCTCAGGACCAGGAAAGCCAAAATCCCTTGGCATAGATGAGGGGAAGACAATCCACATTATAAGTGGTGATTCCACAGTTTCGATGGCAGTGTCCGGGAGTGGGACTCCTAAGGAAATAATGGACCATATCGGGTGGTTCACAGAAGGAAGTTTGGATAGATACTCCATAATGGGGAAATGATTAAGACTTGGGTAGCTGAGAATCTTGTAACACACAAGTGGCAGATGACCCAAGTAGGGTTAGTAATATTTACAAGATAGGCGATGGGTCCACTTTATCAAGTGCTTTCATGTAAATAAAATTGTTTAGCAAAGAGAGGTATATGTATAGTTACATATATTATGCAATTGCTTTGTTGATATGTGATACCAATGACCATGAACGCATTCGTTCATTT